CAGTCACTCACTCACTCACTCACTCACTCACTCAAAACTGTTCAGTCCATTCACATTTGAATCATCTATTTTCTGGTTCCACTTTTATTTTCTTCACACTCGCCATGCTTTTGCTGTCATATCGTATCTACACTGGATGCTACAAAGCATTGCAAATCATTTGAACGTTGTGTCAGTACGTTATAAATAGAACGAGTCAGCAGTTTACTCTCAGGGATTTGTCGTGTCGCGCCGCATCGCATCCAAGACAGCATCACTGATTATAACGAGTTCTTGTATTTTATTGCGTCGCGCCGCTCGCGTCCGGTGTAGACACGATGTAAGTTAATGTAACTTTCTGATGCTGCGTTTGAATTTTCATGCCACATTATTTGAAATTAGCGCGAACCAAACTTTTTCTCTCATGGGCCGGATGTGGCCCGCAGGCCGCCTATTGAGGAACCCTGTTTTAAAGCAAAAAAACATTTTCATTCATTTTAAAGCAGATCATGAGATTTTCTATTTGATTGAATTATTTAAGATTAAATATTAGATTTATGCTTAAAAAACTATTTGCCAACAAATACAATAAAAAGAGCTACATTTAATTTAATTTGAATTTAATTTTATTCCAAATTAAAAAATTTAATTCAAATAATTAAGCAAAATGTAATTTTAGGAATTTATTTTAAATATCTGCTCTTGATAAAGACAATGGAAATAACACAACAATTAAACATAATAATTTGATCTTAAATCAAATTAATTTTATTTGAATTTAAATAATCTAAATAATTTATTTTAAACAATTACTGAGTAAATTCAAGTAATTCAATCTCTGAATCACTTAATCGAATCTGTGAATACCAGATCATGTCTCTTTTTTCTTGTTTTAATGTGTGTGTGTGTGTGTGTGTGTGTGTGTGTGAGAGAGAGAGAGGGTGTGAGAGAGAGAGAGAGTGAGAGAGTGTGTGTGTGTGTGTGTGTGTGTGAGAGAGAGAGAGGGTGTGAGAGAGAGAGAGAGTGAGAGAGTGTGTGTGTGTGTGTGTGTGTGTGAGAGAGAGAGAGGGTGTGAGAGAGAGAGAGAGTGAGAGAGTGTGTGTGTGTGTGTGTGTGTGTGAGAGAGAGAGAGGGTGTGAGAGAGAGAGAGAGTGAGAGAGTGTGTGTGTGTGTGTGTGTGTGTGAGAGAGAGAGAGGGTGTGAGAGAGAGAGAGAGTGAGAGAGTGTGTGTGTGTGTGTGTGTGTGTGAGAGAGAGAGAGGGTGTGAGAGAGAGAGAGAGTGAGAGAGTGTGTGTGAGTGTGTGTGTGAGTGCGTGTGTGTGTGAGTGCGTTTGTGTGTGTACCTGAGACGTGTCCACAGGTTTGGGTATGAAGGAGGTCTGTGACATGAAGTGTGTGTTTCCCAGTAAGTCTCTCACTCCGTCTGCGTCTCTCTTGTATTCTTTGACCGGCTCGACCCTCATCTTCTCTTTGGGCAGCAGAGCCTCGTAACACGGCGCGTAACCCGACGGCGGCAGGAACTTGAAGTCTCCGTGACGACCGCCCAACAGGAAGCGCACCCTGAGACGACAGGAGAGACGTGAGACCCATCGTCCATCAGTGACTCACGCACAGCACACGCTCGAGTCTGACGTACTTGACGCCGGCGGAGAAGCTGACGACGGGGAAGAAGAGCTCGTCGATGTTGAAGTTCTCGAACATGCCCTGCACCGGCTGCCCGTTGATCCTGAAGGAGATGCTGGGAGCATTCAGATCCATGCAGCAGCTCACCACGTCATCAGACGCCAGCAGATGCTGCTTCATAGACGCCACCGTCCTCGGGATACGTCCTGCATCAGGACCAGACACAGATACAACACACATCAGCAAACTGCAGGGAAACACAGGGAGCGGCACTTTAAGGCATCATGGGCTCCGTCCTGATGCAAATCGGCCAAAATGCAAATAAACATCACAAAAGCATCACAGAGAAGGGCAAAAAGCAATAAAATAGCTGTAGAAATAATGATTACAAATAATGCATTAAATACCAACAAATAAATAAATTAGCTCAATTTAAATTGAATTTGAACTTACTTTAATTGTATTTTAATTTAAATTATTAAAATAATCACCCAATATTTTAATTTAAATAATTGAATTAAAATTTAATAATTTAACTTATTTAACTTTTATTTAAATTGTATATTAATTTAAATTATTTAAACAATCGCCCAATATTTTTTTAAACAAATTAATTTAAATAATCAGTCAATATTTGAATTTAAATAATTTAATTGAAAAAAAAAAACGAATTTATTTAAATTAAATTAAATTAAATTAAATTAAATTTGAATAGGGCTGTCAATTGATTATTATTTTTTAATCACGATTAATCGCATGATTGCCATGAGTTAACTCGTGATTAATCGCAACTTATCTGTTCTAAATGTACCTTAAATTAATACTTTTCAAGTTTTTAATACTCTAACATGGGCATGGACAAATACGGATGCTTTATGCAAATGTATTATGTTTATTATTAGTGAAACCATACTCAACATAGAGCATAAAGAATTCAGACACAGGTTTTCACAAAAACATATTTTTAAAAACCATTTTTAAGAAATTGAATCAAAAGTCAAAAGTATCAATTATTATATTAAACAATTATTATCAATTCATTATTATATTAATTAAATAACAAATATATTTTACTGGCTTAATTGTTTAGATTTTTATAATGCATTATCTTCTTATCGATCCACCAGTTCACATTTACAACTCTGCGTGTTTGCTGTATAAAAACATGGGTTGATTTTCACATCGGTCTGAACAGAAACAGCAGACGGGTTTATTGCAAATGCACATTCATTCTCTGCCAGCAGGTGGCGCTGTCGGAACGGCAGGAATAAAGCGGTTTCTCTGACTATACACAAAACAGTGCAGCAGCGGACTCTGAAACCTGCAGAGCTCATATTTATTCAATGAAATCACAGCCTTCTGAAGTTTAATCGTCACATTCAGCCATATCGCAATTCTGGTTTTTCCATCCCAAAAATTTAAGACCTCCTGAAATCATAATTAAGACTTTCTTGTACCATTTAAGACTTTTTATGGCCTTAAATATGATACAACTAAATTTAAGACCTTTTAAGACTTTTTAAGGACCTGCGGAAACCCTGAAACAGAAAATGTGCTGCATTAATCGCGTGTTAATAAAATTAGTGCCGTTAAAATGAATTTGCGTTAATGCGTTATTAACAACCAACAATAAAACAGGAGAAAGTACTAAATTATTACTATATTATATAGTAGTAAAACGCATGTGAACAGTAGCCTACTTTTTGATCAGTTCATCAGTAATATTCAGGAAATAATAGATATTGCCCTGCCACCCCCATCCCTGTTGGGCAAAGGGTCGAAATGATCACTTGTTTGTGCTTCGTGAACACTCGCGCCTTGCACGGCGGCACCATTGCGCTGCAAAGATGTACCGGGAGAAGCGTGATTATTAGACGACCGATCGTCATTTCCAAAAGGCAAATATTCCCCTTCAGAGTCAGAATCGGCGAATAACATTTGCAACACATCCTCACGGTACAACTTTTTATTAGCCATTTGGTGATTTTCTCTCACAAATCTCACAATTTACTCTCACGCTATGAACTGAACTGCTTCCGCATCAAAGACACGAAAGCTCACTTGCTCTGCTATTTCCTCGAAAACTTTGAATAGGAACGTGACGTAATTTTGGTCTAGAATCGAAGTACTACATGTCTGCCATCTAGTGGTAGGGAATACAAATGAGATATTACACCATATTAGGAACTACAGTCTATTTTATTAAGTATGATGTCTTGTCGCAATTTTGTGACTTTGGCGCTTAGAGGGTTAACACGTTAATTTTGACAGCCCTAAATTTTAAATATTACCCAATATTTATGGCTGCCATATTTTTATTCTTATTAGATCAGGGTTATTTTTTATTTATTTATTAATTTAACACGGTTGAAACGCAAGCTGGATCAGGGTGTGCCGTCCCGAATCGCACCGCTCAGTGGAAACGAGCCATCAGTGTGCTGCCTCAGAAGTCAGCTGTCTATGTAGGGAGTGCAGTGCTATCGTACCTGACCACAGGTGCAGTCCATCGAAGCCGTAGGAGTAGAGATCGTCCCCGACGCCGTTGCCTCCCCAGCCCTCTCCGCCGCCCGGGTAGGGAGCGTAACCTTTAGTGGACGCCCAGCCCACCCGCAGGTGCGACGGCTCGGCCGTCAGGAAGTGATCCACATGATCAATCACCAGCTCAAAATACCACTTCCTGTACTGGGCCGAGCCTTCGCTGACTCCCACGAAGATATTGGGCCTCATGCTGCAAGCGAACACAAACACACACACAAACACACACACAATCTCAGAGACTCACTCATAATCAACGGTGTGTGTGGCAAATAAACCTATATAGGGTGGAGTATATCTATTTAATCATCATTAATAAAAGAAAAAATTATAAATAAATGTATATGTATATTTAATAATCATAAATAATAAAATTGAAAAACTATTTAAAAATAAAAAAGCAGGTCAAATAAATCATCATGAATAGATTTATATTTAATCATCAAAAACATTATAGAAATAAAATATAAATGTACAATAAATTAAAAAAAATTATAAATAAACATATTTAATCTTCATAAATACATAATGCATATTTAATCAAATGGCAAATAATTAAAATAAAACAAATCTATATTTAATCATCATAAATATATTTATATTTAATCATCTCTAATAAAAAAAGTCTTAAATAAAATATAAATAAGCAATTTATAAATAAATGAACAAATGAATTATGAATGAAAAAAATATATAAATGATTAAAACACATTTATAGTTAATCCTCAGAAATAAAAAATGTTTATCATGAATAAATACATAAAATATAAATACACGATATAAAATAATAAATAATTAAACCTCATTATACACACACACATATCATATAATATAAAATATACAATTTAAAACAATTTCATATCAAATCATCATAAATAGTTATTTAATCATCATTATCAATGAATAAATAATTTTTTTTTTTTAATTATGAATGAAAAAAAATTATAAATGATTAAAACACATTTATATTTAATCATCAGAAATAAAAATGTGTTTATCATGAATAAATACATAACATATAAATACACAATATAAAATAATAAAATAACTAAAACTAA